AATATTTGCTATAAAGCGAAGAGAAACTACATTAATTGGAAGCAATCTCAATTTGTATTATTATGAATATTTTATGATATGAGTATCTTATCATAAAACTTGACAGATTATTTGGCTAAAAATGTGAAATATTGCGATCAAGATATATATGTAAAAGATACCATATATATGCAGTATATAATCTACTCACGAATGATGCAGTTGTTGCTAAACAAAAATAATAATAGATTCGATTTGCTATCAGTACCGGTATTTATGATTAGATTTGGCTTATATTTAAGATACATATTCTATATATATATACAAGTATTCTATATATATATACAAGTATTCTATAAACGGTACATTTAAACTGATTAAGGTGCACAATTAGTGTGACAGTCTAACAAATGGCGATTTTTGGGAATTGAACAACTGTTCTTTCAAAATTTTAGGGCATATTTATACAAATTTTAAGAATACACTTTTACTGTGAAGAAAAAATTAAATATTTTTCGAACACACGAGATCTCCGAGGGCGCAAAAAATAAAATATCTCTACTGCTGCAGTAATTTCGTCCTTCTCGGTGGATGGAATCAAAACAAAATTCTCTGCTAGAAGATACTGTTCGTACAATGGCCTACGTTCAAAAAAAAAAATTAATTTTACATAAAACTTTGCTTGTTTTTAGCCTTCCAAAATTTTTATGGGTCATTTTATAAACTACTATGTCCAGAACATGGTCACAAATTGAAAAGTAGTCGGAACATTTATCTACGAGTCATTACTCAAACAAATTTGAAAATGTTGTTTTGAAATAAAAACGTGTTCAAAATGATGGAGCTGATTAAATTAAGCGGTTACCATTCAAAAGGCTATAACTCAAAAACTTTTTGAGATATCGATTTAAATTATTTTTTAAGCTATAAGCAATCGAAATATAAAAAAATTTGTTTGCGAAAATATATATATAATATATGTATATACAATGACGAGTTGTTTCGATTTAGCCATTTCCGTCTGTCTGCCCGCCAGTATTTACGTATAGTAACTAGACCTTCAGCTTTTGAGTTATCGACATGAAATTTTGCACACGTTCTCTTCTCCCCAAGAGGCTGCTCACTTGTCGGAACCGCCGATATCGGACCACTATATTGAGCTATTTAAGGCTATTTTGAGACAATAATCGTCTTATAATTTGAAACTGATAAGCATGACAAACTTAATATTGGATGCTTCCTTCAAATTGCTATCAAAGTTATTTTTATTTTCCTAAAATAAAAATAAATTTTTTTTCATCTGAACTCAACGAGTGGATTTCTCTTGATCTCTTAGCCGACCGCCAGTTGGAATTCCAAAAAACAAGATGTCTGACGATGTGAAAAATTTTTCTGCTTACAATTATCTCAAATCTAAAAAACAAATTAATTTATTATTACAATAAATGAAGATAGGTGATAATCGGAGAGCTAGTCAAATTTTTATTATTTTGACAAAATGGCGCCTTCTCAAAAAATTTTATTTTTCTTTTTATTTTGAGCTGCAGAGTTATTCAAAAAATCGAAATTGTTATCAGAAATCTTATTCCTTCGATCATTAACTGAAAAATACATACATATATGTCTAAGAAGATTATGTGAAAATTTCAAGCCGGTCTAATCGCTTCAGAGAAATTTTCTTTAACGACTCTGAAAGCAGCGTTTCGAAAAACGTTTAAAGTTTTTTGAGCCGATTACAATAATTTTAAAAATTCTTACAAATACTCTCATATCACCGAAAATATTTTTGCAAATTCACAACTTCATAGTAGTTATATCATATCATCATATAATATCATTCAAAATTTTGAATTTCGTAAGCACAGTAATATTAAATTTTCTTAAGTTTTAACAACTTTACATTTTTTCACGCTTGAATAAACATGAAATATGTATGAACACTCACAGTGGTTCACGAAAACTAAAAATAATAAGCGATAAACAATTTTTTTTACATATAAAATTTAAATTTATCAAACTCTGATCTCTGTAGCTTTAGAATATAAAAACTGGTTCACTGTAATATAACTATTATGCCTTAAAAAATATAGTATAATAAAAATAATATTTTCCAAACCGTAACTGCTGAAATTATGCTCAGTTTAAAAAATTACAACTTATATGTACATATATCAACTTTAAAATACTTTCAAACTTAACTTAGACATATGATTAGTGTAAATGTTATATAATTCAATTAATTACACATTTATTCACTTATATATTTAAAACAAACACCATAACACAATTAACTAATAATAAAACTTTCGATAATCATGTTTGGTGGTCAAAATGTTGATTAGCAACATGTTTCAGCAACACAACTGCATGCTATCCCTTTCATTCGTGCAAACGCCTGGACAACGCATACAGACAGCCACCCCACACACAGACGATATGTTACATGACGCACCAACAAAACAAACAATACAAATACACAAACGCACAACAACAATTCGATTGCATGCTTTCCAGCATTTACACACCCTGCCGCTGCCTGTGCCAGTGTGTGCCTATCGCAGCCGCCACCTTCGTGCGGCCTATTGCTGGCAACGCATACGACTTACAATAAAAGCAACAACAGCAACGCGCACGTAATGCACATAATAAAAGTAGGCTGGGTTTATGGCGCCCCGGCCTAAAGCCATATTCATAGCCATAGCTATAGTCTCATGCATACAAACAGCATTGCCAACTAACACACACGCAACGTGCATATCTACGCACACCTGCATACGTACATATGTACACACGTGTGTATTTGTTGTATTTGTCTTTATGGCCAAGCAGCAAGAGAATGCAATGCATTTTTTCTGCACTATTTTTGTTTCATCGACGACGTACTCCTCTCTCTTCACTCTGCCAGGCAATTATATGCGGATGCATGTACACACAAACAAATATATACACATATGCCTTCATATGTGTTTGGACACAGTTGACGGCCTATATTGCTTGTTGTTTGTGTTGTTTTGTTGTTTTTATTGCTATTTACACAGATGCGATACGCGGCGGCTGCATTGCGTTGGTGCAAGCGAGAGCCACAACAACTAAATATGCTGTAAATAAGTATGGACGTAGTAGCATTTGCGAGCACATATGGGAATAGTAAAGTGCATACATAAGTATCTAAATATTGTATATACATATGTATGTACTATATGTATAGTAGAAAGGCTAGCGAGAGACATGTAAGGCTGGTAGATACGGTATGCTTTTGGTGCCCGTATTTATATGTATATCTATGTACTTGTATATATGCACTTAAATAGATAAGTCCATAGTTTCGCTTGCACTTTTGGTCACATAACGCTGTGGTTATTGTTATTATTGCATCTACCAACACTGGACGCTGTGTTGTTTTAGCGAATAAATTCGTCAAATAAACCACAAGTTTGCCAACTGACTATGAATACTCCATTTAACAAGCAAATGTGCGTGTGTATGTTTAGTACAATAATTGGACAGTTCGACCGAAAGATCGCAAACAAGAGTAAGAGAGGAAAATATTATTGCTATTTTTGTTTTAAGTGATTATAGATAGATTGATAAGCTCTTAGTAAGTCTTAAACAGCTAGGAAATATTGAACTATTTTCACGCATACATTATTTTGCTTTTCCATAACCTAGCTTTTCTTGAAAGCTTACTCTTACCCCTCATCGTATATAAGATAATATTCGTTGTTTTTAAAAAGTATACACCACCGGAAGGAGTTTGTTTCGCTAGTTTTTTGCATGTTAGTAAGTACTGTTCAATTTTTGCAATACAAAACATAAGATTTTAATATGAATATAAATGCGTGTCAAAAATTCGTCTGCCTAAAACATTCAACTCCATTTAATAAACTGCAAAAGAAGTGATTTCTTGTATGGATTCAATTACTGATTTCCCGATACTATTTGAATAGCTGAACTTGGTGTATTTTATTTTTATTATTTTACAAAAGATCTTTGAAATAACAAATAAGATTTAGATTTAGAACTTTTGGAAGCTAATTGTCTTCAATTCATGTATGCTGGATGCTTAAGTGTGTTACCAGATGGGTTCTCTCATAATTATGTATATGTAACTTTACATAAATACCAAGAATCAACAAGCTCAACTCTTTAATTAACATATATGTATACTTTTTATATTATATATGGTGCCACAACCAATATTACGCCAATGTTACTCAAATTAAGAATTATTAAACACATCATAGCAACTTTTAAATGTTGATATAAAGGAAATTTACATAAAGGTACCAAAGTCTCTGAGACTCTTAAGTAAAACCTCATCTTACTTGTAGATTAGTATTTCATAAGCAAGCACTATTTATCTGCTATAATCTGATATTCAGATATGTATTTTCTATGCTCACCATGCCGAATAACCATTTTCCGTTTTGTCGCACTTCTCTTCCCATATCCTTTTATAGTTGTCGTCAAATATGCACTTCCGGCTAGCATCTGAAGCCGCAACACGAATTTGCTGCGGCAGCAACAGCGTTTCACCAATAGCGGTTTTATATTTCCACATTATTACAACAACTTTCAAAAGCAAAACAACATGAAACACTCCTATTTATAATATGGATCTTAAATCACTACCCATCCAATAAATTCACTTAATATTTAACCATAAAACCTATGGAAACTATTTCCGGCACACATTCACTATGTCACAATGTTAAACTATAATTTCAAACTTTCCACCATCCACAATAACATTATATGTGTTATATATCACTTTTATCTCCACCATGTTATACATGTAAACGCTTTTTAAACTATATGCTACTGTATATGCCATTTATAAAAGGTTTTACAGATTTCCAAGCGGAAGAACTTACTGTGAAGTAAAATCTGCAATTTTTTCAAAATGGTGGAGTCCGTTAAGTTTGTGAAACCGTTAGCTATACTATACTAGCTGTAAACCACAATATTCAAAATATTGATTAGTTGGAAATAAAATAAAGAAAATACTTATGTGATATATTTAAAACTATTTATTTATAAAAATTATTATAAGCTTATCATAAATATTTTGAATAAATATAGCTGTATTGTTGATTTTATTGTGTTTTTCTGCGTTACAACCATGCAGCTGCGACACACAACACAAAGCTCGCTGTTGTGAAAACTACAAGACCTTTCCTTATGTCAGCGCTTTCCATGCTTACTACTGCGTTCCTGCTCTTATCCACAAATACTGTGCGTTTTCGCCATATTAAAGATTTTGTCGTGCGCGCTCTCTTCTACCCATGTGCTTGTCCCTATGCTGCAGCACTGTCAGTTTGAATAATTTGTCAGAAAATTTTTTTAAGTGCGTTTGTCGTGAAATTTCTAATTGTTTGTTTTCAATTATTACTCACGAAAAGTAAGCAATAATAATCCATAAAAAATAGTGGTGAGTGTTAAACAATCTACGCTCTATCATTTAGTAAACAAAATAGTAGTAAAAGTTGTATACTAATACAGATAATTGCGTGATAGTGAATGGATAAATTTGCAAGTTCATCGGTGTCTCGTGGTTGTGGTATTCGTTTTGTACTTCAGTCGGTGTTTTTTAGCTATGTACTTAGAAAATTTTCACAACTTCAGCAGTTTTGTAATTTAAAAGAAAAAAATATATTTGCTAGTTTACTATACTCTTTTTAAATTTCCTATTATAATAGCATTATCTATTTACTATGAGTTATGCTGTTCGTTTATTGATTTTCCAAAACGTAAAATTAGACAAGTGGGTACGTGCGCCTTCTCGGCTTGGCATTCACAGTACGTACATGCATATATAAATCTATGTGCATACGTATGAAGAGCGTGTGGGGGTCCATTCAGTGGTAGGTTCGAGAAGCACGTAATTTTGTTTTGAGTGCAAGCCTGCCAAGAAATCAATAAATCTGTTTTGGGGGCGCAAGTGTTGATCGATGATTAGCACACGCTATGGTCAGAAGTGTTCAACTTTTTTACGGGCATATTTATATGTATATAAATATGAACATGTATGACGTTTACGTCAAACTCTACCATGCGTAGCACATATCCAATCTTTTCTTTGTTTCCTTTGTTTAAGAAAAACAGCAGAGTTGAGCTTTCACCAACGCCTTGACATATTTATACATACGCAATGTCCCCAAATTAACACTATTCGATGTTGATTTTACATCCATCTAATTGATATTTTGTCACGAAGTTCTGGGTGTTACAAACAAACAAAGAGACGTCAGAGACCCTATAAACTACATATATAAGTGATCACTGTGACGAGCTGAGTCGATTTAGCGGTCGTTCCGTTGTATATATGTAAGTACGTGAACTAGTCTTCCCGTTTTATGCTTCTGATTTGTAGGAACTATCAATATCTGACCACGGTAGGATATAGTTCTTCCATAGACGGTTACACTAAGCTAACTTTTTTTCTTGTTTGTAATAATGTTGGCTCGATTTTAGCTTTTTCTATTATGAGAAGAATCAATATTTTTCGAAATGAATTCATTTAATTTTTCTCATGGTTTTTGTTCTGTTATATATTTATAGCGTTCCCCTTTCACATGTGCATCGTTCCCTAGCGAACAGTAGCGAAACAGGAAAGGCTCTAAAATATCGTAAACTAAAAAAAATTATTGTAACGGACCAAGTGTACACTAAAGTAAATAGATAACACACAAACTGTAAACATGTCCAGCTTACCACGTCGTATCATTAAGGAAACTCAGCGCTTGATGCAGGAGCCTGTGCCCGGAATTAATGCCATTCCTGATGAGAACAATGCGCGCTACTTTCATGTTATCGTAACGGGTCCAAATGATTCACCTTTCGAAGGTGGCGTTTTTAAATTGGAATTATTCTTGCCCGAAGATTATCCAATGTCAGCGCCAAAAGTACGATTCATTACCAAAATCTATCATCCGAATATTGATCGCTTGGGACGCATTTGCTTGGATGTACTCAAGGATAAGTGGAGTCCAGCATTGCAAATTCGTACAATTTTGCTTTCAATTCAGGCGCTATTAAGTGCACCCAATCCCGATGATCCACTAGCAAATGATGTCGCAGAATTGTGGAAGGTGAACGAGGCTGAGGCCATCAAGAATGCACGTGAATGGACTCAGAAATATGCCGTCGAAGACTGAAGTGCAAAGTGAAGTGTTTGCAGCAGAAAACGTACGACGATGAAAGCGGGCGGTGGAGCTGCATGGAGTGTGGCGGGGGAATTGGGCATACCATGGGAACAACACGTGAATACAACGGCTTTTAATTGGTAAACAAGTGATGGGGTGGGGGGGGCATGGAGTAGTTGTAATGTGCGTGAATCAAGAAATGGAATTATGTAATAACAATTAAGTAGAGTAATAATATTGCGTAAAATAATTGCTAACTGGCTAAAGAAGAACAACTTATCTCCGGTATGCTGTTAATATTTTTAAAACACTATACACGTTAATATATTGAGATGCTGACGTCTTGAATGTTTTTAAAAATAAAACTCTACCAAGCAAAACAAAAACACTACAACAAACAAATGAGTATAATAAATGAAATACAAAACAGTAATAAAGTTATTGATAATGCAAAAAAATAATTATAATGAAATAAAAAGAATTTCTATTAGTACATGCAATAAAATATAAATATATATATGTATACTCTTACTACACACTTTAATACAAGCTAAATGATATGATAATAGTTTAAATAGAGTATAAAAACTAAATGCTAAATCACTTGTAAGAAGATGCAACAACAACAACAATAACTATGCAATTTTTGATTCCAACTTTTATACGGTCTACATTTGGCTGCTAAGATGAGCGGTTGAGTAAAGAGCGCAACACAACTTTTCAACAAAATGCCGGTTGCCGCTTGCTACTGACTTTCGTCCACGTATATACATATATAATATATGTGGATAAAAGTGTTGCACGTCGTTGTGCGCGCTCGTTAGCTAGGGCGCTGTGTGCTATTTATTCACATTTTCTTTTAGTTGCGCTAACAATATTACGTTTAGCCGTCTATTCATATAGCAATTGTATTCTTTTTTTGCATTTTAAATTCTAAGCCACTCTTATACATACTATGTATCTACATGTAAGCACGCCGCATGTTGACGTTGTAGATATTCTGCTTTAAGGAAGTTGCTATTAATATTTAATGAACAATGAAATTCGATTAATCATTAGAGTTTGCACTTCAAAAAAAACACACACACACACTGATGTTACTTTTAATTTTGTATGCTTATATGTTTCCTTATAATTATTAGCATTATTTAAAAAAATTCATAATAGGTATTTTTAAATTTTAGTAGCATTTCATATACGCTGCATAAAAGTCAAGGTGAAAGCAAACGTCAATGTGAAAAACCTTTGACAGCAGCGCTGCATGGCTTGCTACATTTTCTATTTGTTTGTGTGTAAAGCAAAAATACCTTTATAAAGTAAAATATATGAAACATTAAGAATCTGCATAATTTTTTTTTATTTCTTAAAGAATTAGTTGAAATAAACGCGAAACCTGAATTGTAAGATAAAAAATATGTGACTTTTAATTACCAAGAATAAAAATTTGGAATACCCTATACGGATAAGTATTATATTATACACTAAATTTGCTATTACTTTGTTGGTGGCATGTTCCAAGGGTCATCGAAAAATTGTGCCGCACTTTAAATACCCTCAAACACACACCAAAAGATGTATGGTAAATATTTTACTATTTTCTTTGTAGTTTGTGAAAGCAGGCAGATGCTTAAATAATATTAACGAAATCATGCTTCATTTCTCGGCATTTATGGCATTTGGCTGCTGCATAAAACGCCGCCAGACACCAAAGTTGCACAAATATTATTTATAACAGCATTTAGCTAAGTACTTTAAGCCTGCATTGTCTTTCGAATTTTCAATACATGCTACTTCCTCAAACCATTTCTACTCCAGCTGTTCATATGTAACACATTTTTTCACGAAAAGTGTGGGGCCACATTCATACCAAACTCTTCCCGAACTTGTCGTCCAACTGGCCAACGAATATTGAAAAAAGCGCCGCTGGCGGCCAAATGTGCCGAAAGTGATTTATATATCCACGATAATCGCTACTATTTTGCCATTGTACATTTTGATCGCTTATTGTTGTTGCCGTTGGTTGCTATTGTTGCTGCCTTTGGTGTAGTGGCTCGTACGTGTGTGTGGAGATTTTTTCTCTCTGCAGCAACAGGCGCAAGCGGTGATGGACCAACTTCGTCGTAAGCTTACCAATAACTGTGTTGTTGGCAGCCATGCATGTAAGTATGTACACACATAAGAATGGATTCTTCGTGGGCGCAACGCCACGCATTTCGTTATTGTTAATTGGCCCTTTTTGGTTGTGAGTCGCTTAACTGCGAAAGTTCCATTGTTGGGGATACGTGCTGCCTTTGCAACTGGTCCTTTTGATGTTGTTTTTGTTGTGATAGTGGTGTTGCTTTGGGTGGCAAAGAATTATTACAGCTTGTCACCTTATTTCGGGCGATTTACGGTAAAATTTATCGCTGATGATCAACAATAAAAAATGTGTCGTTGCCAGCGGTACACACAGAGGTGCATACACACACGTAAATACATATGTATATGCTACTTGCATTGGACGGTGGCGCATGGAGTAACGCCGTGAAGTTGGATAATTGCACTCATAGGTGTCAAATTAAGTCCAATGCGGCACGGGCAACAGGATTTTCACTTTGATTTATGGATAGCAAGGCAAATGGAAAGAAAAACATATTTTTCTTGTGTGACAAATAAGGGCATAAGGAAGGGGTTGTAAGTACTAAATATCGGTATGAAAAATATTGGGGAAAATTATTAACAATAAGGATGAAATGCTTAAGAAAAATTAAATTATTTATCTGCACACATACATACACATGTTTGTTGGAGGAAGTAATGTTCGTAATTTCTTAAATTTTTTAAGGTATTCAGATATTTTAGTGTGAATTTCAGTAATGTCTAATCAGTATGCGAATAAAATAAATGTGTGAAGTATTAATTCAAAAATAAGATAACGCGATTTAAAAAACGTTAACTTCGTTTGCACCATAGCTATAATACCCTTCACAAATATAAAAGATTCCACGCAAGAATTTGTTTTTGACCGCTCAGTTTGTGTGGCAGCTATATATATCCTTAAGTCATACGATATCGACGGTCCCGACGTATGAGCAGCTTCTTGGGGAGAAAAGAACATGTGCAAAATTTCAGATCAATATCTCAAAAACTGCGAGACTACTTCGCGTATATATAGACAGACGGACATGCTGATCATTTAAATATTCTTTTATTGATAAAACCTGGAACGTACAATATAAAGAATGAAATGTAAAATATAAATATAGTATAATGAAAAATTAAATTAATATTTAAAATTAAATTAAACGCAAGAAATAAAAAAAAATCTTAATGAGAACTAAATTAGAATAAAATAAATTAAAATTAATAAAAAAAATTATAATAATTTATTTTATCATTTAGATTTTTTTTATGTTTGTGTTTGTGTTATTGCAATAAAGATTTCAAACTGTGTACTAAGAGTTTCTTGTGTTTGTTGGTTTCAGTGACAACATACAATTTTTTTTTTTGTTATTTTACTGAATGAGCACTTATATACACATTGTATGGTTATGTGCATTATTCATAACTAGATAAGATAAGAGCATAAATCATCAAGAGCTTGCCAAGTGTAATAGAATTCAGTTTTTAACGAAAAATTTTATAGTTTTCACTGAAAAAATGCAGAAGGAAAACATACCATTCCATGATTATTATATGTAACGATTGTTTTACAACAACAAAAATGTTTTACAACAACAACCACAGTATAATAGTGAGCCCAGTTTTCTTCAAACATTTTAGTTAAATGGCAATCGGTGAAAAAAGTAAATTACTGTGTTACGAGTATGTTACAAAATTGGTGTCAGTTCGTCATACTTGTACTATCACGTGTGCGTTGTTAGTGAAAGGTGTTTTTATTTTTGTATTGAAAACTGCAATTTTTTGTGTGTATATCATAACAACCGCACTGATAAGCCTATAGATTAGTTAGTTTTTGCGGGAATATATTTTAAACTGATATTTTATGATTATGGGATTTATTAGTTTTAAATTCGAATCGTTATGCAGCAAGTATCTGGAAGCGAACAGCTACAGTATTAGTATTATTGGAATGAAATATAGAGGGTTCAAGCTCAGAATTGTATCAAATACGATATGCGTCAGCTTTCAATCTGATTGGACCATATATTTTTCTCAGTATTTTTACTTCGAAAATTGCTATATGGTTCACGTCAATCGCCTTCATTGGCCAAACTTCACAACCGTATGTCGGATTGGACACAGGAGTGAGTGCCTGATAGTAATTTGGTTTCTCTACAAGAGGTTAGGTTAGACGTCCCTTTTTAAATAAATAAAAACTAAGACGAGAATGCCGATCGAATCGCATCATTTCTAACATCATATACACATTAGTCGCACATCGCGTGAGAGACAGTAAGCGGCAAAGTAGTGCGCTTATTGTTGGTATGCATGAGAGAAATAGGCGTAACACCTTGCATATGCAATGAAAAATGAAATAATATAAATACTAAATTAAATTAACGCAAATTGCTTGTACTACAAGGTATTAGGTGCATGCTAATCATTTTATTGATAAATGTACAGGTAAAAGTATATATTTTTTTTCAAGTGAAGTGTCTATACAAGTCTATACATTCATTTTTAAAGGAGGATCAATATTAGATATGTGCACTTTTCAAAAAACGCAAGTATTGGTTTTTTTTTTACCTGATTATTTTGACCCTAGTTCTTCGAAGTATCTCTATGATTTCAATGTATATCTTCCACAATGGCAGCTGCATTCGAGATTTGAGCTTCTTGTTGGGCTTAAGAAGTCCTTGTGAATGAATGATCATGAGATGGTTCATTTATGTATAGTTTTTTTTTCGACTGATCTAGTTCCATTCTCGCTGTAATCATTTTAAAGACGACTCTTCCAAAAATCCGGCGATTGTTAAAACGAGCCAAGCTAAGTCGCAGTGACACTCTTCAGCGGTAATGTAAGCTTCTGGCTCAACGTTTCGGAGTCTCGTAATAAATTTTTGAAAATACTAGCTATTAATAACGTGACGGGTATATAGAAGTCGATTACTGGAATTAAGATGCTTAGATAAAATTATGATAAGTTTTTTGTTGATGTTATAGACACCAAGTCAGACGTAAGAGTCCACAAAGTGAGTGGGCTTTCTATTTTCCGGTCACAAGTACATCTAGAGCGATACAGGCTCCGTTCAGAACTCGATCTAGTTTACGAGTCGAATATGCGAACCAGCTTTTGGAACTTATGTGAAGCGAGGAAACACCAAGATTGGAAGAACACTGAAACGGACAATTTTTTCTCTCTATCTGCTGTCCGTAAAAAGTTATATGAAGGAGGTGTAGATCACGGCTTAGTTATGTAAGTATATAACGGGTTTTCCGTTCCTACGACAGTCGGGCTTACGTAACCGGCCAAGGCCTGTCAACTCGGCAGAATTCGGCCGCTACAACAACATAACAGGTTTTTTTTTGAGTTCATGAGCACACGAATATATAAACTTGTAACCAGACAGTGGATTCAACAAGCTTTTAAAGTTACTCTTTCGACTTTTACATGCCAAGAGCACTAATTCAATAAAAACTGAAATGCATCGTGGGTCTGTGAGTAGAGAAACTGTGTTGTAGTTTTTTTCTGATTGGGAATTGGAACAAAACTTCTGGGATTGCTTTTCAGTGGATGGAATTCATAAAAATATTTTTTGAGAAGTTCAAAAGGAGAATGGTTAATTTGAGGGCAGTATCTTTACTTCCTATATGCTCAAGAAAAAGTATGTACCCTCCAAAACTCATTTTTACATACGCTCCTGTCTACTTGTCCGTATGTCTGTATGTATGTGTGATTGTTTGCATCAATGCATTTGCAGCAACGCATTGGAAAACGCTTGCGCCTTAATACAATCGACA